ACTTTTACTTGAAAAATCTTTTACTCATCTACAAAAGCGAATGAAAAAACTGCTAAATAGATTCAAAATTTTGTCCTGAGTTTAAAAATACCCAGTGTTTACGTGCTTTTTTGCTTTTTTTTGCATGTTATAGGGCTATAGGTACAAGTAGGATATTGCGGTTTCAAAACATACATTTTTAAAATTTATCAATAGTGACATTGTAACACTATTATCTGTCATAAATCTCTGAATAACACCCCACATGTACATATTTTTTTTAAAGTAGACAACCCAGGGTATTCAATATGGGGTGTGTCCAGTCTTTTTTAGTAGCCACTTGTCGAAAACACTGGCCAAAGTAAGCATTCATATTTGTTTGTGTGTGAAAAAAGTAAAAAAACTAAATTGAACGCTAATTTTGGCCAGTGTTTGTGACCAAGTGGTTACTAAAAAGACTGGACATACCCCATTTGCAATACCTTGGGTTGTCTTCTTTTGCAAATGGTATGCCATCATGGGGTAATTCTCATTCCTGGGCTACCATACGCTCTCAAAGGCAACGTAACCAACCTGGCCATTTTCAATGTAAAAATATTTGACCCATATATTTGACCTTGTAACTTTCAAAAATGCTATAAAACCTGTACATGGGGGGTACTGTTTTACTCGGGAGACATCGCTGAAACAAATATTAGTGTTTAAAAACTGGAAAACGTATCACAACAATTATATCATCAGTAAAAGTGCTGTTTGTGTGTGAAAAATGCAAAAAAAGTAACTTTCACTGACAATATCATCACTGTGATATGTTTTACTGTTTTGAATCACTAATATTTGTGTTCAGCGAAGTCTCCCGAGTAAAACAGTACCCCCCATGTACAGGTTTTAGGGTGTCGTAGAATGTTACAGGGTAAAATACAGTGCTAGCAAATTAAATTCTCTGGAATTTCGGCCTGGGTTGGCAGGCAGGTTCCTCAAATTGCAATCAATAAAATTACTGAATTATGTAAAAATATTACATAAATACGCACGTAGAATTTAAATATATATGCATATTTATATATTTGAAGTCTACGTGTATATTTATATAATTATTTATGTAATTTTGTATATGGACGTATGTATATTTCTTTTTATTTTTATTTATTTTTATATACATAGATATATATACAAATTCATTCTAAGTGTATTTTGATATAAATATATATATATTAATTTTAAAATACAGTTAGAATAAAATTTCATATAGCTATATAATTTTTTAAAATTTTTTTATTATTATTTAAAAAATTTTTTATTTAATTTAAATTACTTATTATTTATATTTTATAATAATATATATATACAATATATATAGTTATTATATATATTATATATATACGTGTGTAATTTAATTATAAGTGTATTTTTATTTTAATATAAGTACATATTAATATAAAAATACACTTAGTATGGTATTATATATATGATATATAGACATATATTATATAGATATAATATATGTCTATATATCATATATACACATATATAATTATTTATTTATTTTTTATTAACATTAACTTTATTTATTTTTTTTGATTTTACACATGCAGGGAGACTGCCTGTCAGCACAGACAGTCCCCCTGCAGGCAGACACATGGACACCTATTGTGACCATGTGATCGCTGTGTTAAGCGATCACATGGCCACAGGGGGTCCTAATTCAGTGTGGGGAGACTGTCTGGGCTGCAGGCAGTCTCCCCACACTGGGAGCCACGCTGATCGCCGCCGGGGGAACGGCGGCGATCAGGTAAGTAGCTCTGACCGTTAGGACGGTTCAGGACCGTCATCGGTCCTCAAGGCAAAAATGCCGATGACGGTCCTGAACCGCCCTCGGTCCTTAAGGGGTTAAAACTCAGACTGTTTACAGTTTGACCTGTAAACAATTTTTTTGCATTGGCCTCCTCAACCAACTTTCTCTAATTGAGTTAGATAGACATATGCGTATTTAAATAGTTTATATGTCTTATGCCATTACAAACATAACTAAGCTTATATCTCACATCGAAACCCAATGAATGTGTATCTATATATTAAAGCAGAATTCTGTATGCAATTTGTAAAATGCGTTTTAATTACTGTGGAGCATTAGTTCTCCACCCCGCCCCCCTTTCTCCATTAATAGGAAATATTCTATCTATCCATCCATCCATAGGTCTTCCATGCAATATTATTTTGCTATAATAAACCCATTGAAGAAAAATTGATGATTTGACCCCGCTGGATATTTTTAACTTGAAAAAGATCTGGCGTGGTTGAAACATATTTTTTTGTTTGTTTGTTTTCTTGTCACATGGATTTATTATAGTAAAATATCTATCTATCTATCTTTAATTTTCTACATGTGCAAAATAAATATTTTCGTACTAATTTACTTGCAGGGGCAGACTGACCTCTCAGGCATATCGGTCATGGACTGAGGGTCCAAGACAGCCAGGGGTCCGGCCGCACAGCCATGCTCCAGCTGGAGAGATCAGAGATCTCTCCAATTGGAACGGCAAAATTAAAAAAAAAATCTCTTTCATTAATAGGTTGCTTGGGCCCCTGATGGAGCACAGGGCCCCACAACCTACCGCTCAGCATATCAAAACACCCTCCTCCCTCCCACTTAATGAGACCTGGCAGCATTACCTCCTCTCCCTCTCTGCAAGGTCTCCTGCTTCCTGTCCCATGCGGCTCTGTGTGATGGGAGAGGCGGGGCCAGGAAGTGACATCACTTCCTGTTTACTCCTCTCACACAGAGCCCTATCACAGCCAGCAGGGGAAGGAGCAGCAGCCTTGGAGACCAGAGGGAGCAGAGAGACGGGTAGGCACTAATCATCCCCCTCCCACTCACTGTGTCACCAGTCACCCCCTCCCTCCCTCTGTCACTAGTCACTCCCTCCCTCTGTCACTAGTCACTCCCTCCCTCTGTCACTAGTCACCCCCTCACTCTGCCACTGTGTCACCCCCTCCCTCTGTCACTAGTCACCCCCTCCCTCTGTCACTAGTCACTCCCTCCCTCTCTGTCACCTGGTTGAAAAAGCGAAGCGTGAAACCATAGCGGTGGCACGGTGCAGGCCAAGCAGCATTTGGCATAGCGTTAATCAGGTCACCCCTCCCTCTGTCTAGTCACCCCTCACTGAATCACTTAAGTACCCCAGCCTCCCTCACACTGTCACTAGTCACTCCCTCCCTAACTCTGTCACTGTGTCACCCCCCCTCCCACTCCCTCTGTCATTTTAGTCACCTTCCCGCATCCGTCACTGTCACTGGTCACCCTTCCCTCCCTCACTGTCACCAGTCACTCCCTCCTAACTCTGTCACTGTGTCACCCCTCCCTCACACTGTCACTAGTCACCTTCCTGTCACTGAGTCACCCCCCCCTCTGTCACTAGTCACCCCATCTCACCCTCCCTCTGTCATTAGTCACCCCTCTGTCACTATTCACCTTCCCTCCCTCACGCAATCACTAGTCCTCCTCCTAACTCTGTCCTGTAATGCCCCTCCCTCACACTGTCACTAGTCACCCCTTCCCTGTCACTAGTCACCCCCCTCTGTCACTAGTCACCCCATCTCTCCCTCCCTCTGTCACTAGTCACCCCATCTCTCCCTCCCTCTGTCACTGTGTCACCCCCTCCCTCCCTCTGTCATTTAGTCACCCCTTCCCTCCGTCACTGTCACTAGTCACCCCTTCCCTCCCTCCCACTGTCACTGAGTCACTCCTCCTAACTCTGTCACTGTGTCACCCCCTCCCTCTTGCTGTCACTAGTCACCCTTCCCTGTCACTAGATCACCCCCTCTGTCACTAGTCACCCCATCTCTCCCTCCCTCTGTCATTTAGTCACCCCTTCCCTCCCTCACTGTCACTAGTCACTAGTCACCCCTTCCCTCACCTCACTCCCTCACTGTCACTAGTCACCCCTTCCCTACCTCCCTCTGTCAATAGTCACCCCTGTCACTAGTCACTCCCCCCCTAACTCTGTCACTGTGTCACCCCGTCACTCTGTCACTAGTCACCTCCTCACTCTGTCACTAGTCATCCCTTGTCACTAGTCACCCCTCTCTCCCTCTGTCACTGGGTCACCCCCTCTCTCCCTCTGTCACCCCATCCCCTCACTCTGTCACTAGTCACCCCTCCTCTCACTCACTAGTCACCCCTCCTGTCACTGGTCATACTCCCTCAGGTCACTAGTCGTCCCTCCCTCTGTCTGTGTCACCCCTCATGCCGCAATGCTAGTCACCCCTCCCTCTGTCATAGCCACCCCCTCCCTCTGTCACTGTGCCTCCCTCCCTCAATGTCACTAGTCACCCCTTCCCTCCCTGTCACTAGTCATCCCTTCCCTCGCTCACTCTGTCACTAGTCACCCCTCCCTTACTCTGTCACTAGTCACACCATCCCTCCGTCTGTCACTAGTCACTCCCTCCCTAACTCTGTCACTGTGTCACCCCCTCCCTCACTCTGTCACTAGTCACCCCCTCACTCTGTCACTAGGCACCCCCTCCCTCTGTCCCTCATAACCCCCTCCCTCACTCTGTCACTAGTCACCCACTCTGTCACTTGTCACCCCCTCACTCTGTCACTAGTCACCCCTTCCCTCCCTCACTCTGTCACTAGTCACCCCCACACTCTAGTGACAGAGTGAGGGAGGAGGTGACTAGTGACAGAGTGAGGAAGGAGGCAACTACTGACAGAGGGAGGAGGCGACTAGTGACAGAGGGAGGGTGTGACTAGTGACAGAGAGGGAGGGTGTGACGATTGACAGAGTGAGGGAAGGGGTGACTAGTGATAGAGGGAGGGTGTGACTAGTGATAGAGAGAGGGAGGGTGTGACTAGTGACAGAGTGAGGGAAGGGGTGACTAGTGACAGAGTAGGGGAAGGGGTGACTGGTGACAGATGGATGGTGTGACTAGTGACAGAGAGAGGGAGGGTGTGACTAGTGACAGAGTGAGGGAAGGGGTGACTAGTGACAGATGGAGGGTGCGACTAGTGACAGATAGAGGGAGGGTGTGACTAGTGACAGAGTGAGGGAAGGGGTGATTAGTGACAGAGGGAGGGAAGGGGTAACTAGTGACAGAGGGAGGGAAGGAAGGGGTGACTAGTGACGGAGGGAAGGGGTGACGGGACAGAGTGAGGAAGGGGGTGACTAGGGACAGAGTCACTCTGTCACTAGTGACCCCCTCTCTCCCTCACTCTGTCACTAGTGACCCCCTCCCTCACTCTCTCACTAGTCACCCCCTCACTCTGTCACCAGTCATCCCCTCAATCTGTCACTAGTCATCCCTTCCCTCCCTCACTTTGCCACTAATCACGCCTTCCCTCCCTCTGTCACTAGTCACTTCCTCCTCTCTCTCCCTCTATCACTATTCACCCCCCACTGTGTCTGCCCCTCACTCTGCCACCACTCACCACCTCCCTCCCTCACTCTGCCACCTGTAACCACCTCCCACACTCTTCCACCTGTTACCCTCTCCCTCACACACTCTGTCACCTGTCACATATGCATTTACACTGACCCTATATACAAAAAGCACATGTAGTCATCCAGACATGCACAAGTGCATTCACACGCACTCAAATACAAACATGCATTGATACACAGCTCTTCACAATAAACACATTCAAAGGAATGCCGTATTATATGAGAGTTATATTTAAAGGGACACTATATATCTTCCTGACAGCTGCTAGAGACGCATCTGTGATGCTGGATGCAAAATTCTCATCCAACGTGCAGAACGTCCATAGGAAATCATTGAGAAATGCTTTCCTATGGACTGTTTGAATGCACGCGCGGCACTTGCCGTGCATGCGCATTCTGCTCCACTCGGGAGCTGACTTCGGCGGGGGAGGAGAGATCACCAGCACAGAGGGAGCCCGGTGCTGGATAAAGGTAAGCTGCTGAAGAGGTTTTAACCCCTTCAGCGCCACTTTGTTTTCCTGACACTATAGTGATCCTGTAACATTTATTTAATGCACATATATTTGGCTTTCAAAGGGCCTGGGATCTAATTTTGCCCGGGGGCCCCAAAGGCTCTCAGTCCGCCCCTGTTGACTTGCACCCTTTTGTGACATTTCATGCATTATAAAATCAAAGATCCTGTCATATTAGGCCCTATGGGTTTATATCTAGTAGACAGAAGTATGCTTTTACATCCGCTCAGTTTTGACAACTTGCTATGGCCTAAATTACTTTTCTAAAAATAGCTATATTTTTATTAAAAACAGCAGACTTGAAAATCAGTTTTAAATTCAAATCATAGATTACCTGGGGAAAAAGAAAAACAGGAATGCAATAAGAGTTGAGTAAATAGCATGGTACAAGAGCTAATTAATTGTTAAAATAAATAGCCTGATAAGCGATTTATTAATAACTATATATATTGTTTATATATATTATAAAATACAAATAATAAGTCATTTAAATTAAATAAAAAATGTAAAAATAATAAAAATTAAAAAAATTATATATCTATATGAAATTTTATTCTACCTGTATTTTGATATTAATATATGTATATTTATATCAAAATACACTTAGAACGAAATTGTATATATATCTATGTATATATAAATAAATAAAAATAATACGAAATATACATATGTCTATATACAAAATTACATAAATAATTATATAAATATACACTTAGACTTCAAAAATTAGTGAAACACTAATATTTTGTGTTCGGCAAAATCTCCCGAGTATAACAGTACCCCTCATGTACAGGTATTATAGCGTTTTTGAAAGTTACAGGGTCAAATATTTTTACATTGAAAATGGCTAGGTTGGTTACGTTGCCTTTGAGAGCGTATGGTAGCCCAGAAATGAGAATTACCAAAATGGTGGAATACCATTTGCAAAAGAAGACAACCCAAGGTATTGCAAATGGGGTATGTCCAGTCTTTTTTAGTAGCCACTTAGTCACAAACACTGGCCAAAATTAGCGTTCAATTTAGTTTTTTACTTTTTTCACACACAAATATGAACGCTAACTTTGGCCAGTGTTTGTGACTAAGTGGCTACTAAAAAAGACTGAACATACCCCATATTGAATACTGTGGGATGTCTACTTTAAAAAAAAATATGTACATGTGGGGTGTTATTCAGAGATTTATGACAGATAATAGTGTTACAATGTCACTATTGATACATTTAAAAAATGTATGTTTTGAAACCGCAATATCCTACTTGTACTTATAGCCCTATAACTTGCAAACATTTTTTACTTTGTATTTCCTCAATGTATTGAAATGTTTCATTGTATCCCCAGAGGTAACTTTGTGACAGTGTGTGTTTCTTTCCCTTTGTTTTTGCTTGGGAAAAAAATTGGTTTTCTCCGATTACTTTGCTGTACAGCACATATGTGAAAATCGCGGAAATCCCAATATGTCCTTGCTGGTAAAATGAAATCCAATCTATGTTTATGCAAGTAATGCAAAACACTAATCTTCCCCACAGGTAAATAGGGGTACTTCATGGTCCCTTGTTGCCTTTTATTTTAATGTTTATGATTTTTTTAAATGTATTTTTAATCTGCAGTACAATAGCCAGCAGAAAAGAAAATGTTTTGGCTTTTGCAAGTAATACAGCATGCACATTCACATGTCTGAAATAATATTTTATCCCTTAGTAACTGTCTAAATCCATATTCTTCGATAAAACATAGATCAAAAATATCCATATTCTACATAGACACTGAATTACTATGATGTTTTTATTGCACAGTTGCAACTAATCCCTGAATGTAAATCACTTTACCATCTTACATGCTTGAATATTTGTGCTGTTTCTGCAAACCTTTGCAAATTGTAGCATATTTGGACCTTCGCACAAGGTTGCCCAAAAGGTCCTGATGTTTTAGAACCAAAACTTCATTTTTAATGGCTAGCAAAGTATAATTTAGTTGTAGTTTTTAATCATTTGGAGATATACCTCTTGGGACCCCTTTTTTAGTGAAAAACTTGAACTATTGTATATAGGCTATATGCTTTTTAAAAACTGGAATAAAATAAGTAATCGTCTAGGTTTGATAGCAAATCCACTTCATGTTCAAACTCGGCATATCTTACTCTCTTGTATCAGAAAAGAGAATACAATCTGGAAAGACTGTTAGCAATCAACTTCATTTTTTTTTTTTTAAAGAAGACTATAATTGTCTGCAATTTGTGTACAATAAAGTAACTCCAGTTGAATTCCATTTTAAAAAAAATACTGTTTATGGTTTAGCATTTTGCCTAGACATTAATAGTTTCTTCAGGAAATATTACATAGATTACATGTCATTTTGTTGCAATGATAAATGTTGCGCCTTCGTGTTTTTTCTTTTTTGGATACTATAAATTTTTTAAATTATATGTCGTATCTGGAAAAGATTTTTGAACACGATTTTCCCTGGAATCTGGCTATGCCACAAAACCAGCACCTGAAATACACAGATATTTCCAGGTTTCTAGCAGAATTTGTGTATTCTGAATAGTCTGATATTTGGTCCAATGTTTGCCCCTGAAAACATAGATACACAGTACCTGGATTTTGACTAAACCACCAATGTGTTCACTTAGGATGCACCAGTTTTACATGGAATTCGGTCACTCCTTAATGCTTTACCATGACCAGACCCAAAATAAAAACTAGGAAGGCACCTCTGTGGAGAATGTGGTACAGGACTAAGGTAATTCTGGCCTCTGCCTGCATGCCTGAGCAAGTATATAGCAGATATGTAAAATCCCTGTTCTAATGTTTTAAACGTTCCTAGCAGCCACGTACGTTCTGTGCGGTTAGGGCTAACGAGGAAGCATTAGCCTGAGCAAAGATGGGTGGCAGTGCTTAGCTGAAAATGACAGCTGTCCGCATTCGGCCTATCAGACCTGGCTATAGTAGTATGGATATAGAAATGTGTCATCTCTGCCTTAGCCCTACCTCCAGAGACCCTCATTCAATGTCAAAATGCTAAAAAATGGTTTAACACTGAATGGAGAGACAGTGCCAGAGGAACTATAACCAATCACCAAAACCTATTCACAGAAATTGTTACTCCGGAAAGGACTTACATAATTTTAGTAGATGCAATTGCATGTGTTACCTTAATTAACATACCTGCCACATGCATATAAACACTTTCCTCAGTCTGTGTAAAATCCTTTGGCAATATTAAAGTTGCACTCTGTGCACTATAATCAGAACAATTCAGTGTAGCTATTCTGTGAAAGGATTGTGGGTGTCTATGTCAATTGTGTCCATCCAGGATGTCACTGATAGGCTGAATGCCAAGCAGGGGCAGTGCCAAAGACTCCTGTTTATTGTCAAACTGCTGCCAAAAGTTTTAACAAAAATGGTATTGCACCCACAGCCTGAGCCATTAGAAATGGCTGTAGTAGTTATGGTGCATAGTGCCTCTTTAAATTCCAATACCTGCTATGTGACTGAAAACCATACTTCAAATGTTACGTTAAACTATAAAGGAATGTCAGCTTAAAGGTAGAGCTCAGCGGTTTGTCTCCCTTTATTACAGTATGTTGAGATTGTGCAAGATAATCACATTGAACATGTTAAATAAGGAGAAGAAATTTGCATTCATCACATGTCAAGCATTTTTTTAACTGTTGTAAAACAGTGTCTTTTTTGATGATTCACAAAAGTGTTTGTGTTTAAGACTTTCTTCATTTTTGTGCTCTGTAAAGGACCCAGGAAAAGTTACCATTGCCCAGTGAGTTCACAGCATCCAATTTTACCCTTGTTTGCTGGCATTTTGTCACAAAATATAACAACAGTTATTCAAATTTGCTTGCCATCCATTAAAATGGATACTGAAAGCTGCATTTCTTTGGGGTCCCCTTCTATAAAAAATTGTCACATTGTTGTACAGCCATAAGAAACGAAAACAAATCAATGTGTTAAAATGTCCACCCAAGATAGACATGGCTCTGTTTTCTTTCTGCTCAGTAACCTTTAATGTCAGTGTATGGACAGCTGTTTCTGAAAGTTGTATGTGTTAGTCTCATAGAGAGACAGAACATAAACCGTTGCCACTACCCATCCAGTCCTCGAAAGATCTAAACAACTCATTGCCACATTCATTGAGTTTGACACGAAATGACACTTTGATTGGACTCAGGTATTGAGAATTGGGAAGCCCTTTATTGATTTAGTAATAGGTGTTAGGCTTCTCTTATTTCAAGCCTTCAATTTTGCTGGCTTTCCAGTCTCGGTGTTTTCATCAAGCTTCCTCTTTTGGGCAGCT